TCAACTTGATGTCAATACCAATAAAGGTAATGGAACAGATAATTAAAGTTGATCTGTGAGCACTTAGAAAAGGATGCTGTGATTACTAAGGTCCGGAATGGGTTTCTCAAAAGCAAGTCATGCCAGATGAATCTCGTTTCTTTTTTTGATTCAAGCTTGGTGGATCAGGGGAATGCTGTGGGAGTAGTGTATCTTGATTTCAATCAGGTTTTTTCTTTTCTTTACAAAGTTCCCCATATTTATGTGGAGAAACTGGTAAAATGTGGGCCGGATGAGAAGTTAGGTGGATTTGTAGCTGGCTGATCAAACCCAAACTGTGCTCACTAACGGTTCCTCATCATCATGCAATAAATGTGCATTCTGTCGTTTACATCTTTTGTAATGTTTTGAAATCTTTAAGATCATATGTCAGTTTCCTGTTAATTATGTTGCTTTCAACATATACTTTGTATTTCATTTTCTTTAGTAATGTTTTATTCTGGATCTTTTTATTTGATGTTTTAATGTGTTATAAACCAATGATATTTTTTTACTTAAAAATATAAAGCGGTATAAAAATGAAGCTAGGGGACGCGGGTGGCGCTGTGGGTAAAAGCCTCAGCGCCTAGGGCTTGCCGATCGAAAGGTCGGCAGTTCGAATCCCCGCGGCGGGGTGCGCTCCCGCTGCTCGGTCCCAGCGCCTGCCAACCTAGCAGTTCGAAAGCACCCCCGGGTGCAAGTAGATAAATAGGGACCGCTTACCAGCGGGAAGGTAAACGGCGTTCCGTGTGCTGCGCTGGCTCACCAGATGCAGCTTGTCACGCTGGCCACGTGACCCGGAAGTGTCTGCGGACAGTGCTGGCCCTCGGCCTCTTGAGTGAGATGGGCGCACAACCCTAGAGTCTGTCAAGACTGGCCCGTACGGGCAGGGGTACCTTTACCTTTATAAAAATGAAGCTATTAATAATAATTTTGAATTATTGATCAAGGTAAATCACTGACCTAAGTATTAACACCTCATATTCACAAATGATGTGAGAAGGCTCTAGTATCAAGAGTTGCCTTGAAATAGACAAGTCCACCACTCAGTTTCTCCTATTGCTGCAGCATTCAAACAGAAAAAGCCACATCTCACTTCCTTCCTTTTGTGCAAAGATTACAGATATAATAGGGATCCTCTCACAGCCTGGACATACCAACCTTTCCTTCATCTGTACAGGGTTTTTATTTTTTCCCCAGTTTTAACAGAATGATTCTAGTAACCTAAGCGAGTGCTCATCTTGTATTTTAAGGAAAGAGGATTCATTAGTACTTGTAACTTCTGTCCTAACCCATATAGCTGCTGATGTGCAGAATGCAAAATCCGGTTTGATCCCCAAGGCATTTAATTGAATTCCCGATGGGGTTTTATGCTGCTCTCATTATCAGTGTCTTAGTGCCTCTCCCATTAGTGCATTAAGCAACATTAACATCTGTCACACACAGTTTGCTTTTCCTCTCATCTCCTCCCCATTGAAGTGGAATTATGAGTACTGGGGAAATGCCCTAATATAAACACACATTCATGTGCATGAGACTACATACAACATCTTCGCTGGCCCTCCTTGTTCTGATAAAAATGTAGCATCATTTGTTCCCTTGTGAAGTTAACATGCTGAACATTAGAAGCTGAAAATTTTACTACGATGTAAAAATCTTATCAGCGCTGATGGACAGTTGCTGTGGAAACAGTAACTTTTATGTCTTCACTGAGCATTTAAACCCTCCCCCCCCCCAAACAAATTTCTGCACATTATTTTTGCCTCAAACTGAAAGCATGTCTTGATTAATCAGTATAACTAACTGGTTAATGGCTTCGTTAGAGAGGGAAAACAACACTCCAATTAATCTCCAGTGGCCTTTTCTGCATCTAGGGAGGAACTTGGTTCCAGGGCAGAGGTTACCAGCAGGTCTAGACAAGCAGAGAGGATTCTGCTGGGGTGGGGGAGGCACAGAAAGGCTCTCTGGGGATGTATCGATATTCTGCAACAGTGGCTTTTAGGATCAGTTACTGGTTCGATCAACTGGTTGACAGAGCACAGTTAAATACTGTATCTCAAATTTGTCCGTCCTTTTCCATTAACCAAGTAGCATGCCAAGCCGGTCCAAAAGTCAGTTAAACGGATGAAGTGTTGCTTTTAAATAACAGTATAAGGATACAAACAATTTGTACCCTAACACAATACAAAACAAGCTGGGGCTTAGCAAGATTTGTATCCTGTATTGCAAATGCAAAAAGCAACTGAGCATAGCAGAGAGTTAATAACATACCTCATAACTTGACAAGTGATCCCAACCCAAGTGGGATTAGGAGCTGTTGCACTCGGGCCTTCTCAGAGGCCCAGGCCACTTGCAGCTTTTAAGGCCCCTTAGCCTGTGGTGACCCAGTATGGCTGCTAGTTCACAGGGATGTAGCCAATGAGGTCACAGGAGCTTGAACAAGTTGTTCTGCATTTGAAAAGTGTCACTTTGGTTCAAAAGTGGTCCCTGCTGTCAAAGCTGCTTTTCTGCTGGGAGAAAAATTGTGTGGTCTCCACCTGTTCTGGTTTTCTCCCCATCCTCTTCTTTACAAAGAAATACAGTGGTACCTCTGGTTGCAAACGGGATCCATTCCAGAGGTCTGGCCTCATCCCAAGGAATTCGCAACTGGAGGACCGCTTCTGCGCATGCGCACATGGCGAAACCCAGAAAAATACTTCAGGTTTGCTGCGTTCGCACCCCGAAGTTTACGTATCCAGAGGGATACGTAAGCGGAGGTACGACTGTAGTGGGAACTTTAAACATTGCAGTTTTATTAATACTTAAGGGATCCTTGCTGTCACAGTTTCTAGCATGGGTTCATGCCACAATAACCATAAATAACTCAGAAGCAAGTCCCACTGAATTCCACAAGGATTGTTCCCTGATGTGTACAGAATTGTAGCCTGAATTGGTTAGTCTTCTCACACAGGACTGTTAACAAACGCTCCCTACACTTCCAGACCTATGTGAAAAGATTTATTTCCTTCCCAGTCACTAAATCTGCTTATCCCAAATTTTGAAATTAAGGGAGGGAAGCAGGTTTGAAATCGTGAAAAAATATAGGACACAACCAGGACATTCAGAACTACAATGTTTGGACTTTACATGAAGGTGAATCATGTCTATATTTTCCTGCTGAAAAGATAGAGACATAATGTGATTATTAATTTAGTTATCAAATGCATGGATAATTGAGGGGGAATGTCAGTTGATATTAAGACAAAACCTTTATTAGTTAATAACAACAATATATATATATTGTTAGCTTTGCCACTCTGAGTGCACTCTCATTGGCACTGTGACCAAAGAAGCAGCAGTGGCAGGGGTTCCTGGGAAGCTCTCACTGCTGCCACCACTTCTCTGGCACCACTGTGGATGCCCCCCCCCCGCCCACCCCGCATTGCTGGAGAAGCAACACCATCAAGGCCACCACCAGAGAAGGAGCTTCTAGCGACATCTCAACAGAACCCAAAAGTCAGTGCTGCCATCTCTTCTCACTTCTCTGGCAGAGGGGCACCCACAGTGCTGCTGTAGATGCTCTCTGGCACCACCACAGGCGCCTCACCGCCCGCCCCCGCCCCCAACCCAGAGATGTGAGAAGAAGTGGCAGTCCCACCCTCCCACGGTAGAAGCAGCTTCCACTTTGATCTTGCTGGAACACTGCCTCTCCTTCTCCTTCCTTCTCTGGTGGGGTGTTGGAGGTGGCAGCTGTAGGGTGAGCTATCACTTTCCCATTTCACCACAGGCAGTGAACTAGCCCAGGCCGCTCCTGTTTTTCACAATTCAGTTCGATGCACATCAAAACTAGTTGAGAAACTTGTCAAACGCCATAACATTAACAAGTGGCTGGATTTGAGGCTCCCTTTGAGTTTGAAGCAGCAGGGGGCAAATGACCATCCAGCCCACCCCACCCCCATCCCTGGGGGCACTAAGAAAAGCCAACCTTGGACGTCCATAGGATGTCAACTATTGTGTCCAGAGCACACCGCTCTTTTTTTCGCTTTCCAAAATAACGGAAGGGAAAGACACAGTCGACACAGCTTTGAAATGTGCAAGTGTCACCATCTTGCTTGCCTGCCTTCCGGCATCTTACTGGCCGTGCCCACTTCCGACCAGCAGGTGCTGCTCTGCTACCATCGGCGCAGCACGCTGTAGACAATTCGTGTTGTTTGCGTGAACCCAAAGCTACAGAATAATAATAGGGTTGTTGTAAATAGCCCGCCCCCTGCTTCTTCCTCGCTGAGCAGTCTCATGGCCCATGAAATCGCTTCGCGGTTGCTTTCTCCCTCCACACCCCCCCCCCGCCGCTTTCCAGTTGTCCCCTTTAAAACAAATAAAAAGATAAGCCCTCGGCGCGCGGCGATGCAGTTGCAGACTTTGCTCTCGAGGGTGCCGCTGCTCCCTCTCCCTCCCGCGAGCCTCTTTGTTCTCAGCGCAAACTCCGCCACGGAGAAGAAGCGTCACCGCGAAACAAAGCAGCCGGAGACAGTAGCGCGATTCACCACGACAGCATGAAGAGCAAAGGGGAGCTTTCTCCCAGGCCAAGCCCTTTGTAGACATGTGCTTAAAGGAAGGGGGAAAAGGGGGTGGGAACAGCATCGGCCCCATTTCGCGCGCCTTCTTTTGAACGCAGCGCCCCCCGCCCCCGCCGAACCGTCCATTTGGGTCAACGGGGAACTCCTGGCTCTTTGCTTCAGGGAGTCGCTTCCACGAAGCTGGCGAACCAGCAGTGAGCGAAGCGGCAGCCGAGTGAGCGAAGCGGCAGCCGAGCCGAGGCTGCTCTCCTGCGCTCCTTGCCTTCCACATTGGTCTTGCCCCGGCTCGCGCTGCCCGGGCTCCGTCCTCCCGCCCACCTGCCGCCGCCACCAGAGGAGCCCCCTCCGCCCGCCCCCGCCAGGTGTCCCGGAGCACGTGCTCTCCTCCCCCACCCCACCCCCGCTCCGCACCACTCCCGCATGCCCCTCCCTCCCTCCTCCCCGGCGGGTGCCTCTGCCGGGACCGGGTTGGGCCGGGGAGTCACATGAGCGGCCGCCCAAGTCTGCCCTACGCGGCTCGAGGAAAAGCCTCGGCTGGGCCGCGGAGGTGGCGAGGCGCTGCGCGGCTGCTGGCCCCCATCCCCGCCCCTCCTTCCGTCCCGCTCGTTTGATGGAGCAGCAACAGAGCGACCACCTGTGAGGAGCATGCGCTTAACGCAGGTAATAGAACACCCCCACCCTCCCGCCACCGGCATCTCTCGCCTTGCGCTTCTCCAACTGCTCCGCTCCCACGCTTTTGTTCTCTCTTCCTCCGCCCCCACCTTGGCCGCTCACCTGAGGAAACCTCCTTTCCTCGGGCTTTGCGACTTCGGTGGGTTGGAGGACTCTTTGCCTGGAGAAATACTTTTTTCTCTGGCAGTGCCAGGCAGGCCAGGACATATTTGTACCTGAGGCTTCCCAGTAGATGGTCCCCTCCCGCTTTCTCCACCGGGCCGCCTCCTCTCAGCCTAACCTAACCTCGTGTGGATATTGTGAGAAATAAATTTGGGGAGATCTCGTCCACCAGCGCGTTTTTTCTCCTGTATGGTCTGCGGGCACATGAGGAGGACACAACTTTGCTGGGTCTGAACGTTGCCCGGGTGGAAGACTGTGTGGGAACCACGTGTGTACTGCCTTGGGTTTCGTGTGGAATAAATGTAAGGCCATAGGAACAAATAAATAACATAGTAAGTGGTACTATGTTTATAAGCAGCTCAAAGTAAGGATGTAAAATGGCCACCTGTTCGTTGCATGGTGCCTAAACTGTTTGCCCCCATTCACATACACACACACTAGAGATTTAACTTAGAAACCCCAAGGAAGGAGCAGAATCTTGAACACAGTCTCAACTCCAACTAAAATTTTAAAACAACTCCTTCTCATATACTTTAGTCCTAGAAACTTTACTATTTAAGGCTGCAGTCCTAACAATGACTAATCAGAAGTGCTTGCTCCCAGGTAGGTGGAGTCAGGCTTGCAGCCTTAATCTCTTCCCCCTCCCCACTTTTCTTTCTGCCTTCCTTCTACCTTCTTTCTACCTTCAGGTAGCTTCAAGGCACAGAACGTACTCAGTAGATAAGGCCACTGAGGTGTAATTATGACATTTGTATCCCACCTTTCCTTCAAGGAACATATATGGCAGCATACATGGCTTTCCCCCTTCCCATTTAACCCCCTTGTGAAGTAGGTTAGGCTGAGAGACCGTGGATGACTGGCCCAAGGTGACCCAATGGTGTTGCAGTCCTCAACGCTGCCTCCTTGGAAAGGGGGTGTACCATACCAGGTAGCTCACCTGTGGGTAGAGACAGGTCAAAGAACAATGCTGGCCTGACCATCCGATGTGGGGAACAATTTGGATTAGGCGTCACATTATTCTGCTGCTGCCTCCTGGTGGGTGGGCACTCTAGGTGGCTGGCATACTGGGGTGGGCAGGCAGATAGATATCTCAGCAGCTGCCAATAACTTACCCAGCCAAGACATGCGGAAGAATTAACACTTGGATCCCAAACATGTTGCCCTCCTCTGGATATGTGTGTGTGTGTGCTGTGCTGCTACTGTTATCAGTGCTACCTCCCTAGCACAGCCACGGTGATGAGCTTTCCTGGCTCTGTCTTTGAAGGAGGATAGGCGAGGAAAGCTATTGCCTGTCCCACCACTCTTTCAATGTGTTAACTAATCCAGATGGTTCCCCTCATCTCCTTGTTGAGCCAGCACTGTTCCCTGACCTTCCTTCACGCACAGGTGAGCTGCTTGGCATGCTACCGTTCCTGTACTGGAATTATTCACCTACTGTATAGCTGTGAAGTTGAGTGTTGTCAGTTTAGACATTGAAGGGGTTTCCATGAAGCTGCCTAGAAACAAAAAAATTAATCAAGTGAAGCTTTTTCCATCAGTGTGATCTGAGATGATGGAAAGCAGCACTTGGGGAAACTCCAGTACGCATCTCTGAAAAGAGATGAGGAGAGTTTTCCAGCTTTAAACCTGGCAACTTATTGAAGCCTTCTACACATTTGCTTACTTAGATAAACAGGTAACCTTCTGCCTCGTTTGTTGTCAGAGAGTGGGTGGATTTGGGGTTGTCTAGCCCAGGATGCGGGTGGCGCTGTGGGTTAAACCACAGAGCCTAGGACTTGCCAATCAGAAAGTCGGCGGTTCGAATCCCCGCGATGGGGTGAGCTCCCATTGCTCGGTGCCTGCTCCTGCCAACCTAGCAGTTTGAAAGCACATCAAAGTGCAAGTACATAAATAGGTACGGCTCTGGCAGGAAGGTAAACGGCATTTCCGTGTGGACTACAACTCTCACTACTCCTGGCTAATGGCCAAGCTGGCTTTGGGGGTTGGGAGTTATAACAACATCTGGAAGTCCCAAGGTTCCCCACCCCTGTATTTAAAGACAGCTGTTTGGGGTGGCCCAGATGAAAGAAAGGAGAGGGTTCAGTCACCTTTAATACTAAAGCCCAGTCCTTTCCATGGCCCTTCAGTTTTTTCATGCAGAATACTTGTAAAGGTAAAGGGACTCCTGACCATTAGGTCCAGTCGGGGACGACTCTGGGGTTGTGGCGGTCATCTCGCTGTACTGGCCGAGGGAGCCGGCGTACAGCTTCCAGGTCATGTGGCGAGCATGACTAAGCCACTTCTGGCTAAGCAGAGCAGCACACGGAAACACCGTTTACCTTTCCGCCAGAGCAGTACCTATTTATCTACTTACACTTTGACATGTTTTTGAACTGCTAGGTTGGCAGGAGCAGGGACCGAGCAATGGGAGCTCACCCCGTTGCGGGGATTCGAACCACCAACCTGATCGGTAAGCCCTAGGCTCTGTGGTTTAGACCACAGCACCACCCATGTCCCTTCAGAATACTTGTAGCCAAATTTAAATGTATGTTAAAAGTAAGAGTATGGGGATATTTCCATAAGATGTAAGAATCTCCTTCAGCTTCCCATCCTAGGTTTTCATGCCTGCTGGGATCTTGGGGCATTCTCAGGTAATATCTTCTCCAATCAGAATAGCACCAACATTGGAAGCTGAACAGGAAGTATTTAAATGTTAATTTGGTACTATGGTGGCTGGATTGGTTATGCCATTATTTTTCTACCCTGTGCAAGTACCGACATTACTCTGATCTAATTTGCAGATATGATGTTTACTAAGTAAATATCCTATTTACTAAGTATATGTCCTGCCTTAGACACCCATGGTAACTAACAATGGCATATAAGAAAAATAAAACATAATATGTTGTCTGCAAAGCACCACTATCTAGAAACAGTATCATGTGGGCTCTTCCCTTGTTTTTCTATCCTCATGGAGAAAATTCACCAGTTTTTAGTGTTGGTGCACTCAAATATCCCAACATTCAGGAGGTCTGAGATGAGCCTTTCTATAAGTTTGAACACTGTAAACTAATTCTTTTCTTTCTTTCTTTCTTTCTTTCTGTCTGTCTGTCTGTCTGTCTGTCTGTCTTATGCTTTAAATGCAAGTTAAGGAATGCAGTCATACTTTGCTAATGCTACTTTTTATTTTACAAAAGTTTAGCAAATGCACAGTAGTTAGGAATTCAACAATAGCATTGTTTCTTGCATGGAACACAGTGAAAGCTAGGGCTTCACATGCTGAATTTGTGTGTTGTACAACTGTTAAAAGCACATACATCCTTCCAGTGTAAAACCTTGGCAGCTCCAGGTCAAACTGATTGCTGCAGTCATGTTATGCCATGAAGTTACTATGTGAATTGTTTTGCTTGCTTTCTATAAGCCACATGGCCTACTACAGAACCTGGAGAGGAATTGGTATGGAAAACTGTCCATTGTTCTATTGATGGTTATGAGTCCTGATACAAACTACCATCAGGATCAGTGTAGGGTGATAAGGTGAAAAAGAGGGCAGGGTTACTGCAGTTTATTTGGTAAGTAGAAGGTACGCCTAGTAAGCCACACCAGGGTTACAGTTAGTGCAGTTTATTTGCTTAGCAGAAGCTACGTCTAGTAAGCCACACATACTAAAATTCACTCTGTTATATAACCATTAAAGGCATAGCTGTCAACTTTTCCCTTTTTTTAAGGGAAATTCCCTTCTTCCAAATAGGATTCCTCGCAAGAAAAGGGAAAAGTTGACAGCTATGATTAAAGGTGCAAGAGCCCTATCCTTTTCTACTCCTGGCCACTCTTGATTGGAAGCAACTTGTTTCTGGATACCAGCTGGTGGAGAATAACAGTGAGAGAGTATTGCTGTACTCATGTCCTCCCTGGGGGCTTCCCATAAACATCTGGCTGGCCACTCTGAGAAACAGGATGCTGGACTAAATGGGACTTTGATCTAACATAGCAGGGCTTATGTTCTCATGCTTTTTATAATCAACAAAAATGCCTGTTCATTTTTTTTTTTTAAGGTGATCCCTTAGTGGAATCCTAGGAAATGGATCCAGGCTCCTTGAAATGTTTGTCTTGACCTACTTGATGGAGGTACCTTGCGGAAGACGGTGAATGTGAGGAGGAACTGGGCTGGCCACTTCTTTTTCTGAATTTGTTACTTCTGCCTACCATGGAACAAGGCGAGAGTCAGCAGGGACCCCCACCTGAGGGCCAGGAGGACAGCAAAAGCAACACAAGACCTTTGCCTGCTGGAGCTGTCCCTGTCAAGGGGGAAATAAAGAAACATGCAGTCACAGATGACTACAAAATCTCTAAGCGGGTGCTGGGCCTTGGCATTAATGGCAAAGTAATGGAGTGCTTTCACAAGGCGACAGGGAGGAAATGTGCTTTAAAGGTAAGTAGCTGTTGTTTCCAGACAAGAGTGCCTGGCGTGCTCTGGTCCATGGGGTCATGAAGAGTCGGACATGACTAAACGACTAAACAACAACAACAAGCTGTTGTTTCTCCTTATTTGGAGGCTAAAGACAAGTGTTGTGTTCATTGCTGCAGCGGTCTAGATGCACCTGAAGAATTTGAATTAGAAATTCTCTAAATTGCATGGAAACCTTATGTTATTGAGGGCCTAGTTGTTCCAAACCTTTAAGGCTTTTCGAAGTAGTCCCTGAATTAGTGTTTTAAATTACTAATTGTAAAATTATTTTGCTCCTTTGCGTGGGCTGAAATATGCTTCCTTCTCTTCTCTCTCTATTCCCTCCCCCCGCCCGGCCGGTGAGTCAGATAGTGATTTGAATGCTGATGATGCTACACTGTGGTGAACCAGGAAAATATTGCCTGAGTTACTGAGTTTAGCAGTGCAAGAGATCTGAGATAGAAACTAAAAAAATGCATTTCCAACAACACTTTAATGTGGATTTGACAACAAGACCAATAGTACTGAGACTCAACGACCCCTGTCTATTAGCACCCTGTTTCATTTAACGTCATGTTACATTTTTATTCTGTTAGAACTTACAGTCCTTTTCATTGGTGCAGTGTAACAAATGCTGCTTCAAGATGTATAACTATATATATTTCATACATAGTTAATATTGTGGTAATTTCCACTGCAGGGATGAGTGTTAATCCACTGCTATACAGTGGTACCTCGCAAGACGAATGCCTCGCAAGACAAAAAACTCGCTAGACGAAAGGTTTTTCCGTTTGCGAGTTGCCTCGCAAGACGAATTTCCCTATGGGCTTGCTTCGCAAGACGAAAACGTCTCGCGACTTTGTTTCCTTTGTCTAAATAATAATTCGCAAGACGAAAAATTCGCTAGACGGCAAAACTTGCGGAACGAATTAATTTCGTCTTGCGGGGCACCACTGTACTTTAAAGCACTTTTGGGGGAGCACTGTTGGAATGTTTAACAGAGTTTTGTTGTTGTTTTTTATTTGCCAATCTTTTTTTCAACAGATGATGATTAGAATAATTAAGTTGCATTAATTATTGAAAGAGTAAACATCCAATTATATGGTGCACTTATTATACTTATGGAACTGACACTGGTGACAAAACAAGGTCGTGACTAACAGGCTAGGCCAGAACCTTCCGGGCAGTTAAGGATGCTGAGAATGAAATCAGAGGGTGGTGTATACTCCAGCCTGATATAACCTTGAATAAATTATATGGCTAAGTTGCCATATATATGTAAGCAAGCAAACAAGAAGTGTAACTGCAGTGGAATATACTGGTTTGCCTAGATGGCTCCTAGTCATGATAGCTGTATGTTTTCTCCCTTATCCAAGGCAATATGCCTCTAAATACCAGATCATGAGTGGGAGAGTGCTCATGAGTGGCAGAGCATGTTGTGCTCGTGTCTTGCTTGTAGATTTCCACTTGCCATCTGGTTGGCTGCTGTGAGAACTGAATGATGGACTAGGTAGGACATTGGCCTCATCAAATAAGAGTCTTCTTACGTTTTTAGCTAGGCCTAGAGGGGAGGCATGAAATTGCACACTCCTCTGCAGGTGTCCCCAATATTCCATGAGCAAAGTTTTGGAGGATATGAGGTGGTGGGAAAGGAGCCTGTTGGCTGTTAGGAAGATGGTGCCAGTGGCAGTACCATCTGGAGTTGACTTGCCAAGTGCTTCTCTTTACAGCACTGGGTTAAGGGATTGTCAGGTGGTAGGAGCTATGCTACTCTCATTGTGGCTGGCTGCCATCTCTTCTGTCATTTCTCCCCATCCATCCTTTGGTAAGCTTGGGTCAGGTAGTCACCAAAGGGCCATTGGAGGGCATCTTGCCCAGGACATCATCATACTTGGCACTGCCTTGTCTTTGCTAAATCAAGAGTAAGTAGCGGATATATTCACAGTGCAATCCTTACTCAGAATTACCTTTGAGATCAATGCAGCTTACTCCCTAGTAGGTTTGAATATGGTTGCAGCCTGAAACTGCTGGGTTTTTTGCACACCTACCTGGAAGGAAGCACCACTGAAAAAATGAAACCTTTTCCTCAGTAGACATGTATAGGTTTGTAGGGTAAATCTCTTACGATCTGTCTCAAGTGTAGTAGTATGGATGTGCTTTTTTTATATATGCGCTTAGCCCATTATATGTGCATGTTGATGCAATTGAATGTCACATCAATATTGTGTTACCTGATTATGCTGCAGGCTGGACTTGATGTGCAAAGAAAGATGTTAACCAAGTCTCCATGCGTGCTGAGGCACCTTTTCATATGTGTTTTCTTGATGTTTTTAAAGCTCCTCAAATACTACTGCAGATTGGTATAGGCATCTGTAGTACATAATCTGCCCTTTTGTACCCAAAGAAGCAAATTTAAGGCTTCGATCGTATACTTGGGAATAAGACCTTTTGAACACAGTGGGTCTTGCTTTTGAGGAAACATGTATAAGGTGAGTCTGTTCACTAACATTGCCATTTAGACACCTTCACCAAGAAGCATGTCCAGCTGAACTCAGTTGGGCTTTCTGCTGAAAGCACATGCATAAGAACACACAAGCATGGGTGACACAAGTATTATTTTCACCTGAATGAATATGCCAGTGTGAGGCCATCAAGATGTTCTTGCGCAATGTTGGTTACCCCTGCCCTATATTTATTTTTGGGCTCTTTGCAAGGTCATTCAGTCACAATTTCATAATTAGAAATGCTGCTCTGTTTGCAAGGCTCTGCACGCAACTGTAACATCTAGGCTGCGATCCCATGTAGCATATAAACTTATTTGGAATAAGTACTGTTGCTCAGTGGACCTTGAGAGTAAGATTGCAGTGTTGAGAGACTGTTGAGCTGGATCTCTACAGAGAGGCTGAAGCCTGGTTCTCAAAACAGCAGATGAGGAGGTAACTCTGTACCTGAACTGTACCACTTCATACTGTCAACTGGAGGGGTTTTACACAATGGGATGCTACACACAAAACAATTCCCTGCACACAGTGTGTTAAGTGTTAAGCAAAGCACATTCCTTCTGCCACGCACCCTTCAGTGATTTGTAGTTCAATCCTCTCTCCCTCTCCCTCTCCTTCCTTCCCATATTTTATATAATATAAAACGTGATAGTATCATTATTTTTCACAGAGAAATGCTGATCAATTACTTTCGTTATGTTTATTACAGCAAGAAGCTGATTGCCCATACTCTAATTTGGCCTCAGTTTATTTGCCGTTAACCATAAACGTTCACATATTCATTCATTCTCCTAACTAGTTGTTATAGATCCCTCTCTGTGTTAAAAAAACTAGAATTTTGGGGACATTTTTTCACAAGTGACATTAAGAGTATCTTTAGCATGGCATAAGTCAATTGGGTGTGTTTAATAGTGGTTATGTTAAAAGAAGATTTGTTTCAAAATGTGTATTCTAGTCACTGTAGGTTTTTCATTCACTTTGCATATTCAAAACTTAAGATGCTCCTGATTTCTGAAAACTGTGTCTTGGCATAGCAAAGGTCTTGTTTCTGATCAATTTCTGTCACACCTGGGAGCCTTGTCTATACATATTGATGTTGATTCTAATTGTGTATCAACAATAATATTGGAAGAGAAATGTGCTTCCATGGCACTAACTCCAACTCAATGTTGCTATCTACAGTTAGCAGCAGGGTTGGGAGAGCAAACGACAATCCTGTTAATCCATATCCTAATTGCAGTTGTTTCCTCTGGCCCTGTGTGAGTATACAGAATGCTGAAATTCAGGGTTCACTCCAGGTTTTGTAAGGCCCTTCAGATGCTGTTGACCATGGTATTCTCCTGGATCAGTTCTGTGAGTTGGGGGTTGGAGGCACCATTTTTCAGTGGTTCTTCTCTCACCTGTAGGGCTGGTTGCAGAGAGTAGTGTGAGTGACTGTGTGTCAGCACCCTGACTGTTAAGTTGTGAGATGTCACGGGGCACTATTTTGTTCCCAGTGCTATTGAACATCTATGAAGCCATTGGGAGATTTGGAGCATGATGTCTTCAGTATGCTGCTGACACTCACCGCTATTTCTCTGTAACAATTGAATTGGGAATAAGTCCATCCAGAATTGGTGCCTGGATGTGGTGGCAGGCTGGATAAGGGCCAATAAACTGAGGCAGAATCCTGGCAAGATGCAGACCTTACTGGGTGGTTCCTGGGTCTGGGAAATTTGGCACTTGCCTTGTCTGGACAGTATTGCACTCCCTTTGAAGACACAGGTTCATACTGTGGGGGTACTCCTCGGTTTCATCTCTGTCGCTAAAGGCTCCATTGGTTCCAGCTGGAACCCCAGCTGTAGCCATTCTTGGACAGTGATAATCTGGCCACAGTGGCCATGCATTTGTCTACTCAAGGCTTGACTCCAATGCAATTTCTGTGAGACTGCCTTGAAGTTGATCTGGAAGCTGTAGTTAGTGCAAAACGTTGTTTCAAGGATGCTATCATCAACACATTACACCTTTATCAAACCAGCTGCAGTGGCTGCCTATATGTTACCAGGCCAGGTTCAAGGTGCTGTTACTTATTTTCAACTCCCTGAACAACTTGGGTCCAGGCTACTTAAGAAGCCACCTCTCCCCTTACATCCCTCCCTAGCCACTATGTTCCATGGTAGAGGACTTCCTGGTGGCACCAAGAGTTCCTACTGTTCGTCTTGCAGTCCACCACTGGTAGAACTTTGAGTATTGTAGCCCCTTAAATGTGGAATTCATTACCATCCGAGATGAGGCACATTCCAACCATCTACTCTTTCAGATGCATGCTCCAGGCCCTTTTATTTACCTAAAGCTTTTCTGAATGAAATATTAGATTATTGCCCAGTGACCATCTTGTAAGGTAAAGGTAAAGGTACCCCTGCCCGTACGGGCCAGTCTTGACAGACTCTAGGGTTGTGCGCTCATCTCACTCTATAGGCCGGGAGCCAGCGCTGTCCGGAGACA